TTGTCCTAGCTGTTGTTGACTTTACACAAAAGTTCCCGAAAGTTCATGTACCTGAAATTATTTTACCTTTTGTGATCTCTGTCTTTCATTTGGTTAAAAATTCTCCCATTAGCCATAGTTGTGAAAGATGCCTCCACTCCATCGTCCTCCTGGTTTTTTTTTTTTTTTGGATGATGTAACTTTTTATATTTGTCAAGTGTCCATTTGGAACTCACCCTGGTACATGGTACGAGCTGCTGGTCCAAAGCGATCTGTCACTAAACTGATTTCTAGCTTTTTCCTCACGGTTCTTAGCAAAGAGGGTTATTCCTGAAGCAGCTCTTGGGCTCGCTGAACACTGGATTATTAAATCTGCTTGTTTCTGGTTTTTGCTTATCTGGATCTCTTCCACTAACATACTCTTCTCTTTTAAACCATGACTAAATGGTTGTGAGGCAGCTAGGTAGCAGACTGGGCCCAGTGTCAGGAGGAATTGAATTTAATTGTGGCTCCAGAATCTCGCTAGCTGTGCGACCCTGGGCAAGTCGCTTAACCTCTGTTTGCCTTAATCCATTGGAGAAGGAAATAGTAAACCACTCCAGTATGGGGGGTGGGGGTGGGGTTGCAACGAGGTGGCAATTAGTTTGGATATAGCGCCAGGCCTGGAGTCAGGAAGATCTGAATTCAAGCCTCAGACACTTCCTAGCGGTGTGATCCTGGCAAGTTATTTAACTGCTACCTACCTCAGTTTTCTTATCTGTAAAATGGGGATAAAGACAGTGCCTACCTCACAAGGTTATTGTGAGGATCAAATGAGACATTTGTAAAGCACTTAGCTGTAAAGCACAATACCTGGCACACAGTGTGCTTAATAAATGCTTATTCTCTTCTTTCCCTTTTTTTCTATTTTTCCCCCTAGATTTTGCTTTCACTACATAGGAATGCCGATGATTTTTGTGGGATAATTTTGTATTCTGCTACTTTACTGAAGCCATTAAGGGTCTCAATTAGTTTCTTTTCTGATTCTTTAAGGTTTTTTAAGTCGACTATTCTGTCACCTGCAAATACGAATAATTTCATCTTTCTTTGTTAGTGTTTGTGACTTTCTCATCTTATTGCCATAGTGAGCATTGATAAAATCAGATAATAGTGGGGAAAAGAGACTATATGCCTATATTTATTAGGTGTGCTTCTCACATTTCCCCATTGCAAATAATATTAACTTTGAATTTTAGATGTGTATTTTTATAATAGTAAAAATGGTCCTCTTATGACTATACTTTTTATGGGTTTTAACACAAATTAGTGTTGTACTTTGCCAATTCACGTGCTATTTTCCTTCTTTATTCTCTGTTTTTCTCAGGATGGTAGAGCTTCTGGAGTACTAACTTTGAACTCCTTTCTACTCTATTTCTACATCATTGCATACTGCATGTAGGGATATACTGGGGCAGGGGTAGAAGGTGGGGGAAAAGTACCCCTGACATACTTTTAAGTTTAATCTGCATTATTCACATTTTCTCCATCACTTTCTTATGTCCAGACAGTCTACAAAACAATAAATCAAGTTCTAATTTATAGTATTTGTTGACTTTGGGGGTATGAATGCTCATACTGAAAATGTAACAATCAAGCTCTCTACAGTCTGTATTAGCCTAGCTCCAGCACACCACTGGGTTTAACCCCCTATCATCTCTTCTATGGATGTGGCTCATTTTTAGTAACATCAATTCATGAAGGAAGCGATGATGAAAAGGAGCATTCTGGGACGGGGGTAACCCTGAGTCCTACCCCCAACCTTTAACAGGATCACCCTCCATTCCTAAGGCCCAGCTCATAAGATTTCTGTTTCTCCCTTTGAAAAATTGTTCATTTTTCTTGTGAATATAATAAGAGACAAAGAGACTCATGCCTTTTACCACCTTCACCCCACGTGAATATTTTTTAGGTTGAACCCTTTTGTTTTCCTTTCACTCCCCATACCCCCACTGTTGCTTTCATCCTGTCCTTATACAGCCGCACTCCCCTTCAGACACTAAAGAAATTACCGTCCCTTCTCTGTTTACCAATGGAATGAGTGAAAGTATGGCTGCAATTCCCTCTGACTCTCACCTCTTTACATAACTTCCTACTGTGCTATCTCTCCCACAAAAGAGGGATTCACTTACAAAGGATCATGGGATTTAGTGCATGAGGTATTAATCCTTCTCTTCCTCCATCCCTTCTCCTGATTATGTTCTTAAATCTTTAGCCCCTTAGGCCTTAGCTTTCTGTTTGTTAAAGGTCAGCTGTATGTTTTATCACTTAGTACCAACATAGTCCAATGTTTTAATCTGAGTTTTACTAACACTTTTTAAAGTTGTCTTTGTTAATTAGTTATAGCAACTGAACATCTGTAAATACAAGTTTTCAGACCCATTCAATTGAGCAGGGAGAAGGCAGGGCACAGAGGACAGTCTACTCAGGTCAAGTGCAGTCACAACTGGAGAGCGGATGGCCCGTTCCCCAGAAATTCCAACCAAAGCCCTCATGGCCACAGAGCCATGGAACTATTTGAAATCTTCAGCTGTATTTACAACATTCAGGCTATTTCGAGTCTTCGAGGTGGCCTTATTAGTATATACGTTGCTATGATCTTATTTGTTATGGATATATGGATTTCCTTGTTTCCTGTCTCAATTCTTTATTCCTTCACAACTTTGTCACAAGCCAACAAACATTAGACCTTTCAAGATAGACTTAGTGATACATACGTGTTATCTATACATGTGTATGTACGTATATGTGCATATACATATAGCTGTATTGTGTGTGTGAATATTACATGTGTACATGCACATGTATTTAATGTTACCTATGTTTTATTGTATTTCTATTTACTTTGTTACATATTTCCCAATGACATTTTAATCTGATTCAGGTTTCTACTTAGATTTCTAGGGTTCTAGGGGAAATATCTGATTCCTTCGGTTAGATATAAAAAATTTTAGCTATTTAGAACAATGCAACATGGTTTAGAGCTTACCAGGTAGATTTATTGCTATGTAGTTAGATACTTGATTTCTACTTTCATAATGATAATATTAGATTGATTCCTCCAGCTTGATTCTCACTATTTGGGATAATACTTCCAAAATGAGTGTTTCAATTGTATTTTTGACAATGTAGTTATAACACTGATTCCAAGTTAGATTTCTAGCTTCTGAAAAGTAATATTGGGTTTCTCAAGCTATGTCTCTAGTATTCTAGCGATCTGTATCAATCCAACATGAATTGGAGCTGTCTAGGAGGACTTGTTACAAAGTCATTATGTAAGTATTTTTAACTTAGCTTACTAGGGTGGTTGCTGTTGTAGTCATTTCAGTCATATCGGCCTCTTTTATGACCCTATTTGGGGTTTTCTTGGGAATGATACTGGAGTGATTTGCCATTTCCTTCTCTAGCTCATTTTATAGATGCAGAAACTGAGGCAGACAGGGATAAAAGACTTGCCCAGGGTCACCCAACTAGTAAGTGTCTAAGGTCACATTTGAACTCAGGTCTTCCTGACTCCAGGCTCTGGCATCCTTTCCACTTCACTACCTTTATCTTTGTAAGCATCAGTTTACCCATCTGTAAATTGGGATAATAATAATAATAATACCTATTTTAGGAACCAAATGAAATAATAAATGTAAACAGCTTTGCAACCTTAAAACTATTAAAACATGCTTGGGAGGTTCTCTTCTAGAGGTTACTATTTCTGTCTTGTTCTTTCCTTCTGGAGATTTTGCTTCATGTTTTTTTTTTAAGTGTTTATTATATTGGGCCTTTTTTTTCCTACTCATTTCTGCAGGTTTTCCTCTTTTTTACCTGGGTGAGGTTTTCTTTCCTTTTCCCCCTTTTCAGTGGTTGACTTCATTTATTATTGTTTTGAGAGCTACAAGGCAGCTGATACTTCCTTTCTAAGCCCTTCGAACTGAAATAAACATCTCAAAGGCTGAAGGGTGAGGTCCAGTGCCAGAAGGAAATGAAGAATTCTTCGAACACAAGCCCTTCCCATCACAGTACAAGTAACCTAAATTAGCCATTTTAGAATGACATAATTAAGAAAAAGATTCATTCAAATATTCTTTAGAGGGGACAAGACTAAAACAGACCTAAATATTTCAAAGGATCCATAATTTCATCACTGTCATTGCTCTCTAATGATATAGATCACAACAACCAAGGCTAAAGTATAAACACATAATGGCCTATGATAAGGTTTTCTTTTAAACCACAGACTTTTTGCATGAGCATATTGGAGACGGATAGCCTGGGTACTTCCTGGCATCTGAAGAATTAATGAATGCCAAAAAACAGCTGTTATCAAAATGTTTCCTGTAAATGTAGCATGAAAAACATTAATGACAACATAATGGTAGAACCCTAAATAGTAAATTTAAAGCAAAGTTGTTAATGTAATCTCCGCTGATGTCCTCTTTGGGTGTAGGCCTCAATAAGGCATGGAAGCAACCCTAGGGCTTCGAAAGCTAGCTAGTAAAGCCAAACTACAAAGGTTTTGAGTGTGGGCCCAGCCATAGACTGTATATCTGCTAAAGCTGAGGAGTATCCTGGCTAAACAGGGATAGGCTTGTCATCAGAGGAACAGTCAGCAGGGAGTGATTTGGCAAGGTCATATCAAAACTAACATTTAGAATTGCTGACATTTGCAATGGTGAGATCAAAGATCTTTTTAAGTGTTGAAGATATTGAGTATGGGGGCTATTGAAGCTGTATTTGTATCTCAATACGAGTCTATCAGACCATTTTGTACCTTTGGAATCTTTTGATCAAATTCTGAATTTAAAAAAAATCTCAAACTGAATGCCAATTTGCGATACTCCTTTTGGGGCAAGGGGTCTATATATCCTCTGCACACACACACACACACACACACACACACACACACACACATCACAAAACAACAAAAATCTAACCCTGCAAAGAGACTGAAATAAGATAACTGTTCTTATACGAGGTACAATTCTGCTACTTACCTGTGTGAGGGTAGGCACTTCCCTCAACCCCTCTAGGTCTGTAAAATGAGTGAGATTGAATAGATGATCTCTGAGGCTGCTGGTGGTGCAATGGGCAGAATGCTCGGCCTGGAGTCAGGAAGCCAGAGTTAAAATCCAGCCTCACATACTTCCTAGTTGTATGACCCTGGGCAAGTCATTCAAAACCTGTTTGCCTCAGTTTCTTCAATGGTAAAATGGGGATCATAACATACACCCACCTTGCAGGGTTGTTGTGAGGATCAAATGAGATAAAATCTACATAAAGTGCCCTGGCACATATAAATGCTTATTCCCTTCCCCCTCTTTCCAGCTCTAAATCTTGGGTTCCTAGGAGCAGAGCAATCACTGGGCCTGCAGGGAAATCACCTGGGGGAGACAGACAGGCTTGATAAAGAACCAAAGCTTCTCAGGAATGGAAAGGGCAGAAACAGAAACTGGAAACCAGAAGCTTACTGAGGGATCCAAGCCAAGGCCTATAGAGACCCAACAACCATACTACAGGAAGTTGGTGAAATGACACTTTGTCTGAGGGGCCACTCAGGCTAAGGAAGGACCCAGGAGCACACTGACAATCATCAGCAATTCTTTTCATCACCTTTAAAATGAGGTTTGGATGACGTCATCCCTGAGGCCCCTTTCAGCTCTATTTCTAAAATCCCATGATACCTGATCAGCTTATAAATTGATGGCGGTGATATAATGAAAGCTTGCTTAGGGTCCAAAAATTTTTAGTCAAATTCTGAATCTTTTAGAAATATAAAAAGGAAACGGGATGTTATGAAGGTCCAAACCCTTAGAGGTAAAGTTGCTAAAGCCTGTCACAACATTAGAGTAGCATATTTGTGAGACACTAACTAGTTGACTGTTGTCAAGAGGTGGAATATTTGCTTCTAGAAGGTAATCCCCCAGCTGCAAAGGGTGGTGACATATGTAGATCCTCCAGCATTTGGCACCATGCTCCTCACACAGTAGGCACTTAAAAATCTGTTGAATAGATGAAAAGGTATCAGTTGTATATCTGATCATATCTCTCATGATATGGGGACCCAGAGAAAGATTTTTCATTGGGAGAAGTACCCAAGACTCCATTACAAATATGACCACATGCCTGAGGTGCAGGACAATTGCATCACAAGGAATACACTGTTATTGGTATGAAGAGATTTTTGAGAAAGGGAAATCACATGGAGGAGACACTTTAATGGCAACATCTAGGAGACCTGGTATGTTTCTGAGCCCCATGAAGCCAGAGAAACAGCTACCAAGAGAGGAGAGTTGAGTCAGAGGTACCTGACGTCAGCAGGCACAGTCTTCAAGCAAGGATGCCTTCATTGAAGGCACTTCTTCCACTCTGATTCCAGAAAGAGAGAGGGAGAAATATCTATTCTCATTTGGGAAGCATGAATACTGATGGGAATACTGATTCCCATTCTGGGGGAAATGGGGATGAATTTGTACTCACTGAGAGTAGGTGTTAAGGTGTAATTTTTCACCTTTTCCTTTGCATTTTAGTCCTAATTAAATGTTTTGTTTTTAAAATGCATCTTCTTCACCTGGCATATACTAAAGGCCTTCAACTATGCTGAGACAGGAATTCAAATCAACTGAAGGATACAACTTCTAAAATACCTTATGTGGAAACCTGTAGTTCTTGGGAGTATAGAGTCAAGTGGAGCAAAACCAGCACTGGTGAGACAGTGAGATATAATGGGAAAAGTACTGGATTTGTAAACAGAAGACTTGGGTTGGAATCCTGACTGCTTTATTACTTGCGTGACCTTTGGCAAATTCTTTCACCTCTTTGGGCATCATCAGTATGATGGTGGGGGAGGGGAGAGGTGGGGAGAACATTCATCTCAAAATTCCTTCCAGTTCTTAATCCTGTGATCCTAAGAAAAGGAACAAGTGAGCCATCTATAAATGAGCTTCCATTGTCTCAGTATTCGCCAGAACACCACAGTGCTTAAGTCACTGCCTTTTGCTGGGGCCTGGGAAACTAGCTTTCTACAGAACTTTACAGGGAATAGTCATAACATGCCACTGCCTTATCTTCTATAGGTGGATTTTTCCAACTTAGTGCTTGTTTGGATGAAAAAGAACTTAAATTATGCACTTATTAGATTTTTGCTTTTGGAGATGGCATGGATTGTCCAGAAGTAGCGAGTCACACTTTAATTTTTGCTACTGTAATAACAGGCACTGTACTAATAACTTCTGAGAATACAGAGCTTTATAATTAACAAGGCCCTTCACGGTTTACAGAACACTCTGAATAGGAGAATTACACCTGGAGAAACGCTGGCCTGGAACACAGGAGACATGTATTCTAGCCCTGGCTCTGTCACTAACACACGAGGTTGCCTAGGCCAAGTGCCTTTTCTTCTCTCTGGGCTTCCTTCCCACCTGTCAAATGCAGGGGTTGAAGACAGACTATTAGATTATGTAACAAGGACAAGTGACATAAGGGGTCTGGTATATGGTAGACAGGTTCTTTTGGTGGATATTCTATGACTCTAGGGGGTCCACGGTCCTTTCCAGCTCTGATTCTCAAGCTCAGGCCCTAGGGCTCTAAGGTCCCTTCTAGCTTGGACGTGCTGGTCCTCCCCAACTCTTTCACTCTGGATTCTCACTCTAAGGCAGGCAGGGAAGACTGTCATCTTCACTGTAGTTAGATACCTGCATTTCTTTGTTGTTACAAAAGTAAAAGTGAAGTTAATATCTATAAAAACCCCCCAAATAAGAAAGAAAAGGAAAATACAGAATTATTAATTTATTTTTTTAAAGCCTAGATAACAGAATAATTTCCACCAAATGGAAACATATGGGTAAAGCCAAAATGAAAAATTTAACATTTGTAACCACTAACAAATATTTAAAAATTCAAGTACTGATGCAACCAAAGTTAAGTCCTAAAAGCTGAAGATGGTTATTTATGATGCTACAGAAAACCAAGAGGAAGATTTTCTTTTAAAAAGAAATGATGTCAAAAAAACTTTTTTGTGAACATATAGACATCACGGTCAAAATGACCTTGAAATTATTTGCTTCTGTTTATCTGTGGCATCAGGTAACATCAAAATGATTGCTTAGCTCAAATATTTATAATTCAGGAAAAGATCAAAGCCAGAGTACCTCCTCATTTCCTACCAATTCCATCAGCACATTTATACCTCTAGTAATAAACAGAACTGACACTAAAGAATCAAGTTAACGTCTGGCATTAAGACATGACCATTATTTTTTAAAAGATGATCTGATCGATTTTGATTTCAGTAATCATATTTATGTATTCAGTTGCTAAAAGCATCCTACCAACAAAAGCTCTATAAGATGAAAAAAATATTGGGAGAAGTATGCCGGAATATAGATCCTTTACAGAAGAGAAATCTGAGATGTAGAAAGAAGTGATTCTCCCAAGGTCACACAAAGATAAAGGGTCAGAGCCAGAATTAGACTTTCCCTAACTCTCAGTTTAGTGCTTTCCCTATTATACCATATGGCCTTTTCTCAGCACCAGATGACCTCAACACAGATGACAAAAGCATACAAATTCAGCAGAGGTTAGGCCAAATTTTAAAGGCGATAGAACAGATCTGCAAGGAGCTCTCTGCTCAATAAAGCTCTAGAACCTCTGGCCAGGACAGTCAAGGAGTACAACATTTTAAAAACCAGATCCCTTTAACTCCAAACTTCAAAGGCCCTGATAATAAGCTTCAACCTATTGTGAAACTAGAGACATTTTCTTTCTTTTGTGAATTCAAGTCAGATGTCTTGAATTTTTCAACATATGTTCTGTAATCTTCTTCTTGAGAGGAACACAATGTTTATATGAAAACTTTCAATGGGCCAGTTCCAGAGTACTGGAACTCTTCATTCTTATGTTCCAGGAGTTCGTGCTGAAAGCCCAATGATGCCTCATTCGGTAGCACTGCTTGTCAAGTACTAATCAGCGCTGGGCTCACTGCAGGGATGATTTAAGCCAATAGGATGAAACAGCTTCTTTTACTAGGTCAATACACATGTTGCTGTCACAGCAGCATGGAGATCACAGGCTATTAAGCAAACTTAATGGATTAAAGAGCCTTGTAGAGGCATGCAGGTGACCCAGGCTTTTCAAATGCTATGCTAGTGGAACGTAAGCCCTGGCAGCTGTTAATAGGCTGGAATGGTTTCAACTACAGGTAACAGATCTGTCTGCCTGCTGTTTAGTTCAGAAAGGCTCATCAAATAGCAGTTGGATTAAATGGCTACTGGGTCATGAATTTTTCAGCTACACCAATTCTCCAATACCAAACTAAGGTATAAAAGGACTGTGATCTCCATTACCAGGAGGAGGACCCCCCTGAGAAAATAACATGTCCTTAAAATATTTAATATAGAGTAGGTTAAGATAACATAAAACACAGGATGGGAAGCAGCAAGATATGATAGGAAACAGAAAAATACTGGTTTGTGAATCTGGACACTTGGGTCTTGTCCTGGCTCTGCCACCAACATATTGCTTGACCTTGAGCAAGTCTTCTTCTTTGGACCTCAGTTTCCTCATTTATGAAATAGGAAATTGGACTAGATTTCTGACACTCTAATGAATATCGACTGAATGGAATCTTTTGAAGAAAAATGTGATTTCTCAGTTACATTTTAAAAATAAAATAACCATTTTTATTTTTTCTGCCTAAAGATAAATATTTAACTACTTCTTTTAATTAAAAAAAAAAAGAAGAGAAAAGAAAAAACAAGTAAAACAAACAAAAAAGTCCCTCCTCCAAAACCATTTCCTGGTCTTAAGATGCAAGCCTTAGCAGAGAATAAAAATGCAAAGTCCTCAAAGCTCTCAAGATTTGAATCATCTGATCATCTGTCTTTTCATACTTCCACAGCTAAAAACACTCCTTTTCCACTGCCCTTCATATACATCCTATTCCTTCACACCTGCCAACCATTTTCTCCCTACCTTAAAGTGGAATTTAACAACTACTAATTCTACACTGAGAACAAATCTGTGTATCTCTAAAGCAAGGACTATATGTCTACCTCCCACGTTTAACATTTACCTCAAAAATATCTTTCCTTCCTTAAAATCTAATTGCCCTTTTTGGGCCACAGAGGAAGACAGGCTTGAGGAATATAATCATGCTGAGATGTCAGTCACTGAAAGAGCTGGGAAGTTCAATTCCTCTGCTATCTCCATACTGGCTGGGGTATGGGAGGGTCTTAAAAAGCCCTGCAGACAGGTGGCAAGTGCAATGGGATGGTGACAGAAATTAGTATAGTCACAGAACAGGTAATATCCTCTGCAATGTGCTTACAATTTTGAGTGGTTTTACAGGATGAGAACACTGCTGATTACTGTAGCCTTTACTGCAGAGTTTAGCCCAAAGTGTAATTATAAAGCAATGTGATTAGTTTACCTAACAGACCAGAATTTATACAAGTGTGTTTCCCCTTTTCAAAGTAGTCATCCTCAGACAGAGGTACACTCATGGCCACCATTTTGCCCTTGTTTAAAACAAAGGAGCTCAGAGTTGAAAGGCACCTTAAAGGCAATTCTAGAAACCTCTTTTAGGACACTTAGGGCTAGTTTAACCAGCCACAGAAGAAAACCACTCATTATTTTAGAATCACAGCTTGTTTGGAACCTAAAACTGTCCCAACCAGCAGTATCACCCACTTCATTTGCTAGACATGGCTCTCAATGTTTCAAAAATTCCAATTACCCTTCAAGGGTAAAGATGTGCTACAAATGAAAATGTTCAAAAGACTAGGAGGTAACCTCTAGAAAGGAGTTCCAGAAATACTTTGAACAACAGTAATAGTTTCATTTGGAAGTATACATTCTTTTACATTTGTTTAAAAAAAAAACCTACAACTTTTTAATTACAGTATAGTCATACTTCAAACCTTTGTTTCAAAGGATACTAATTTCAAAATAAGTACTAAGTATTTCTTTAAAACCTTGCCAACCAACATGATGTCTGATCAGCATGTGGATATATACACTGGGGATAGTTAATGTTATGATGGCTTAATCACCTCAGACTGTAAGTGATTACCTGAGAATGCTAATTACTTTAAAAGTATGTATTAGGCAAATGTGTGGTAATGAATTGTAGAGCCTGAGTATCAGCTCAAAACATGCTGACCCCCAAACTGTAAACTCAGGAACTGAAATAACCATAATACTTATCTCTATCAGGAAAAAAGTCTTGTGGAGCAAAAGCAAGCTGAGACCTGTGAGTTGCGTGGGCCACACCTCTGCCCCAAAGTAACTCTTCCACAATCTGTCCCAGTTCATGTAAACTACATTAATTGCTCAGACTGTTGTGGGAGAGAATACAAAAATGACTCTCAATGGAAAAACTTCTGAAAGCCTTTTTGTTACACTTTAAAAAATTTTTTAACCATCCACATAAGTTGAGTTTGTCAGTTACTTCCATACGATATAATGATGTTCGAGATAAATAGGATGTCACAGTCAAACCAGTGGTTGAACCTGATGGCCAGCACGGGACCTGATGAAGGCAGATATAGATGTGCTTCTAACTGTTCTTCACCTGTTTGAATCCAAGCTTCCTCCAAATCCTCTCTAAGGCCACTCTTCCCATGAACAAGGTGATAGTAAAATTACGTCTGTACCAGTCTCTAGATTTCACCACAAGGAAAAGAAGAAGGAACATTATATAATATATATAATAGTAGCTTATGATTAATAGTCTAAGCATTAGAGAAAACACAGCACCAAAACTTGAAAGAGTTCAACTTACTATTCTCCTTTGTTAATAATTTTCCCCTTTCCCTAAACTGCCCAAAACATTAAATATGTATTACAACTAAACAGTAGGAAGGAAATGAAGGTATTTATCATTAAAGAAACCTTCTTAAAAATTATCTAACATCCAAAAATAATGTTTTAGAAAAAAATAATTACAGGGAATCACAGAATTTCACAGCTAGAAGCAGCTGTACTAGAATCTCAACAGACTATCCAGCTTCCACCTGAACACCTCCAGTAAGGGGAACTGCCTACCTGCAGGGGCGGCATTTCTTACTCTGAAGCAGAGATCCGCCTTTTAGCCTTTCTTGACTCATACGGAGTTTGCAGTGCACTAAACCTCCAGGCCTTTGTCCAATGAACTATTGTATGTTTAGCCCTGTATTCTCCATCCTATATTTATGCAGCTGAGTTTTTAAAATCTAAATGCAGGATTTTACATTTGCCTTTATTAAATTTCATTTTATTAGACGTGGTCCATCACTCTCCTGAGAACTTTGTTAGCTTTCAGAATGAGGCAGGACTAAGCCACTTGTCCAGCTATTTTTGCTTATTCTGGTGATGTAAGCTCCATTCCTGACTTGGGTTTCCAGGAAAAAAGGACCATTTGTGGCCTCTGCAGGAAATGCAGGAATTAGATGGATTTTCTATACACTTTAGAAAGCTTTCTCTGGGAAAAAAGACTCTAGAGATGAATGACAAGGGGTATGTTGAATAGGCAATGAAGTGCCAGGACAAGCTCTGTGGGAACTGAAGGGGGCCTGCGCTGTATGCATCCACAATGCCTGATTCTGGCACCCATTTACAGAAGCAGCACATTTCATACTCAAAGGAGAAAAGACAGGCTCCACCTCCTTACCAATAATAGCCAGAAAAGAGGTTATATTCATTTATCACAGATGCTGACCTGAGAAAAATTATAGAGGTCCTCTGTTCTCATTTATTGGTTCTCAGTTTTATGAGTTTTTCTTTCATTTTATTTTTATTCCCCAAAAGACAATCTTCAAATTGCCTAAATACAAATACTGATGCAGTTCGTGCACACATAGTCTTACTTGACTTAAAATAACCCTCAAGAATATGCTGAAAGTTGCATTTATCATTACTACAGGTAGTTCCCAATTGAACTGGTAATATTTATATAGAATCCATAGCTCAAGGCAAGGGGTCCCATATTTTGAAAGCTAAGCATCTCAGGGCCAGAATGCTAATAAGTATGTAGGTCACGCCATTACTTTCAGCCAAATGAGCTGATGAGTGAACACAGGACTTCTGTTTTGGAACAGGCTCAGAGCACTTTATCAGCACTTGTGACAGGAGGAGGAAACAACAAACAAGGGCTCCAACACGAAGCAGAGAGATGGCAAGCAGACGGCGTGAAACAACACATCACATAAAGCCTTTCACAGCTACTCTGAAAACTACAACCACCCATCGCATATGAGAACAACATTTACATTTCTATTTCTTCAGGGGAGGGCCTGGGAACCTAACCACAACTTGTAACATCATTTCTATGAGGAAATGTGCTCTGAATTCTAAACAACCGATGCGTAAGCTTCTGGAACGTGCTGTAGTGAACAGCACACGGGGTACTGAAAACCTGGGCTTCATCATTTACTCACTATGTGACCCTGGCAAGTAGCTTCCTCTCTCTAAGATTCAATTTCTTCCTCTATAACATGAAAGGATTGGAGAACATGGGCTCTAAGGCTCTACCTGTTGGAACATTCTACGTCCTAAGGTTCCTGCCAGTTCTGACATTCTAGGATTCTGTAAATTTGTGAATTTATTTATGAATGACCATTCAAAGGGAAAGCAGTGCCTTAATGAAAATCAGTATGAGAAGACACTAAGTATTTTGTCTAGGTTTATTTAGAAAAAGTCTATGGCACATGAGACTACCATATACTGACTTCTAGGGAGAAAAAGATTTTGCTACTGTAACTGGGGTATAGAGCTCAGTTTTGCTTCAAGTCATTTAAAGAATTATAAGGAAAATGCATAACTTCAGATTTATATCTCTATCACATAAACTTTTTTACTTTTTAAAACAACATGAAATAAGAAATGCAAAACCAGCATGAGAAACTAAGAGTCACTTCTTAAAAATGTAAAATGTGAAGTTATGCAATTGTGGCTAAGATTCCTTTGCCAATGTTCCCTCTCACTTCATGTACATAAGTTATAAGTAGACAACAGTATTACATTATTAACAAACCATAAAAACTAAGCATACATGGATGAGGATTTGTATGGTAATAAAAAAGACAAAAGTTACTTAATAAAATTCATAAGCATTATTGTGTTGCATTGCAAGGTCATTAGGCATAATTACATGTAGCTCACATAAGTGACTATGATAAATGAAGTCTGACCTGAATTCACAAAAAGAATTCCAACAACTTCACAGTGAGTTGGGAGGGTTAACAGCAAAGTTTCACTCTCCTATGTATGATGTGAACCAATAGACATATCCCTCAGCTTCTGGAGACACAAGACCATTTCCCTTTGTTTGCTAGAGAATAGGAGAGAGCAGGAAAGTACTAGGCCTCTAAAAGGGCAGGAAATGTTACCAAGTGGGTAAAAAGACAAAGAAGAGAAGGCTGTGGACTTCACCCACTTCACAACTTTGCTTAAGGCTGACCCTGTTTACTTTCAACTCTACTCTTTCTCTCTCTCTCTTTTTTTTTTTTTTCCAATTCTACTTTCCACAAAAGCTTTACCCAGAAAGATTTTAGGTCATGTAGGGTTGTACACACTAGTGACCTATAAAGAACATTGTTATGTGCACAAATCAGAAGCTGAGGACAGAAATTATGTGTAACATAGATACTTGTTTGACTAAAAACCTACTTCAAAGTACTAAATAGTATTTAGAAACACATTTTAGGAATTTAGTGTGGTAGAAAGAAAATTTATTTCCATTTGAAATCAGAAGCACCAGGCCAAATCCTGGCTTTGCTACTTTGGCCAAGTCACTTTACCTATAGAGGCCTCAGTTTCCTTATCTATAAAACTAAAGAACTGGGCTGAAATATCCCTAAAATTCTTTCTTATCTGATGCTTTTCACATCTTTAATCTTTTTGTTAGACCATGAAGAAAGCCAAAGTAAGACTATTTAAACTGATCATTTCATTTAAAAATTCTGATAAGCTGGCAGTAGGAATGTATGCCTCTTGCATAAAGGTGAGATTATTAAGTTTAAAAAGACTATTACTGTGAACTAATATGCAATCAAACCATTCAGATTTAGTATTCTTCAACTGTGTGAGAATAAAAAGGATACACCTACCTGTTATAGTACATATGCTTCTGAAAATTTTTACTTAAGAATTCCTTGTAAAAATCAGCCATTTCTTCTGCATTCAATGTTATTTTTTTACCTAAAAGTTAATTTAGACATAAAACAATGGTACAGATTTAGGGAGAAAAAGATTTTGCTACTGTAACTGGGGTGTAAAATTCAGTTTTGCTTCAAGTCATTTAAAGAATTATAAGGAAAATGTATAACTTCAGATTTATATCTCTATCACATAAACTGTTTTACTTTTTAAAACAACATGAAATAAGAAATGCAAAACCAGTATGAGAAAGTAAGAGTCACTAGATAAGACTCTTCCCTTTCAGGCATCCTAGTCTGAAATTCAATCTTGTGTGCACACAGGATTGTGTACATCTCATACAGGTTTTTTATCTTATTAGAAATAACTGTGGTTTCAGGCTATTTCTTCTCTTCTCTCTCTTTTTTTTTTTTTGCAAGGCAGTTGGGGTTAAATGACTTGCCCAGGGTCACACAGCTAGTAAGTGTCAAGTATCTGGCCTGAGACGGGATTTGAACTCAGGTCCTCCTGACTCCAGGGCCAGTACTCTATCCACTGCACCACCTAGCTGCCCCTCAAGCTATTTCTCAGGGGAGAGGTTACTATATCACATCAAAATGACTTCCCAGTTGCCAATCCTTATTGGCAGCTTTATTATATACCTCTAAACCTGAAGGGACCTGGAAGTATTTTTATCCTTTATTCATAGTAGAACCTTCCATTAGAATAGCATTAAGATACACTCAGTAGGAACAGTAGTTGTTTTAGGATATTTAGACTATATGTCTCTGTGTATATGTATACACGTGTGTGCATATATACATATGACATATATACATGTATGTGCATATATATATATATATACATACACAAATTCTAAAACTATTACATATATTAAAAGAACTCTAGAACTGGAGTTGGCAAACTATGGCTCTTGAACCAAAGCTTGTGGCCTACAAAAACAGGTGAGCTTAAAACGGTTTTTACATTCTAAAAAAAGTTTTATTGTATTTAAAAATGCAAAAACCATTCTTAACTCATGGGCCGCACAAAAGGCAGATATGGATTGTAGTTTCCCAGCCTCTGTCAAGAGCCATGCAAAGGGTTCTAAAGATAATATTAAAGTGGCCATACACTTTTCTATCTTTGATATCTTTCTATTCATATCTAGTCCAGTGCTCTTCAAAGGCCAGGTGCTGTTGTTGCTGGACAAGGTCTGTATTGGTTTGGTTTTTTTTTTGGGGGGGGAAGGGGGTAGTATATGGGGAAATAAAAGTATTGTAGGAACAGTAAGCATAATAAAACTTAAAAAAAAAATAAGATCAGAAAGACAGGTCGGAAGCACATCCTCGAAGGTCCTATATAACAGATAATGTGCATTTTACCTTAGAGAAAATAGGGAGATATTGAAGATGTGGGTTGCTTAATTTGGTAGGATTTCCAGCCAAGATGGCTGCTGGAATGGCCATACCTACACCAGGATAAAACCTAAAAATTGAACCAGATAAAATAATGATCAAGAAATCCAATGAGAAAAAAAAATCCAGTGAGAAATTACAATGCTTTCTATTCTAGAACTTCACAAAAAGTCAGCAAGTCGCCCATGAGCAACAGAAAGGAGGCCAGTGGTAAAGCTGGTACCAGCTCCAGCACAGGCAAACAAGCCAGAAGGTTCCCAGTCAGATAAGAGACACCTGTAGAATGCAAGGCTCTGTATCCTAAGATATCAAGAGGAGAGGATTCTCCAGAGAAAGCCCAAGGGAGGCTGGAAACCCACATTGTGGACCCTGGCCACCCGGAATGTCAGTGACCAATGCAGTCATAACAGCACTCAGACCAGGTCAGCCCAAGTGCAGGTTATCAGAAGTCTCTAGCATTCTGTCCTATCAAAGGGCCCTAAAGATCCAGAGCTCTGACAAACAGAGATCCAAGAGGGCCTGGCCCCTGAAGGGGGAGCTTAGGATAGGAATCCAGGTGACCTATGGTGATACTGAGCAGTACCCCAAACTGAATCAAGGACCCCTACATGAAGCCTTAATTCAGGAACTCAGGCTGGAGAGATAAGTAACCTCAAGAAGATAAAGATCACTCTACAGGCAGAACCTGAATGAAAATCTAACCAAGGAGACTGAGGAGTGGTGAGATAGGAAGGGAGAGAGCCAGGAAAGAGCAGGGTAACAAAAACCTAGAGAAAAGAGGGTATCAAGGGTAAAAGGATGACTGACAGTGTTAAAGGCTGCAAAGAGGTAAAGAAAGAAGAAGACTGCCATCTTGGGGAGGGAGGAGGAAAAGGAGGGGCAGACAATTTGAAACTCAAAATCCTATGAAAATCAATGCTGAGGGGCAGCTAGGTGGCGCAGTAGATAGAGCACTGGCCCTGGAGTCAGGAGGACCCGAGTTCAAATCAGACCTCAGACCAAACACTTAACACTTACTAGCTGTGTGACCCTGGGCAAGTCACTTAACCCTAATTGTCTTTAAAAAAAAATGAATGTTGAAAACTAAAAATAAATAATTTTTAAAAAAAAGAGACTGAGAAAAGCCAATAGATTTGACAATTAAGAGATTATTAGTAACTTTGGAGAGAGCAGTTTCAGTTGAAAGATGAACCTGGAAGCCAGACTGCAGAAAGTAAAGAAGGAAGTAGAGGCATCAACTGTAGATAATCTTTTCAAGGAACTCAGCCACAAAAGTGAGAAAAGAAATAGCACAAAAGGGGCAGCTAGTGGCACAGTGGATAAAGCTCTGGCCTTGGAGTGAGGAGGACCTGAGTTCAAATCCAGTCTCAGACACATTAACACATACTAGCTGTGTGACTCTGGGAAAGTCACTTAACCCTCAGTGACTCACCAAAAAAGAAAAGAAAAAAAGATATGACACAATAGCTAACAAGGGTGGACAGATGAAGTGAGGGTTTTTTGAAGAAAGGGGAGACATGTACATGTCTGTGGGCATTAGGGAAAAAGCCAATAGAGAGGGAGAGACTAAAGATGAGTGAGAGAGTGGGGGTGATAAAGGAGGTAAATCTGCTGGAAAAGATGAAGAGGAATAAAATCATCTGTGCAGGTAGAGGGATTAGCTGTGGAAAGGAGGTAGGAGACAGGGCTTGAGGAGGAGATAGTGGCAGAAGGCACCTGAGCGACATGAGATGAGGAAGAGGGGAGAAGAGAGAGCTCACGGTGAATAGCCTCAATTTTTTTCAGTGATACAGGGTTCTCAGCTGAGAGGGTGGAAGGAGGGAAAGCTTGAGGATGGGAGAAAAAGTTTAAAAAAGCTGCTGTGGTGAGCTCTTTGCCACTGACAATCATATGACAGAATGTATGAAATCACTAAAAACAAGAGGCAAACAGAATATCTGAGTGGCAAAGAAGTAAAAAGACAAACTGTTAAGTGCTAGAGGAGCTATGGGATGACAGGAACAGTAATGCACTTGGTGCAGCTGTGAATTGATTCAACTGTTTTGAAAAACGATTTGAAATTATACCCTTTGTATAAACCCTTTGACCCAGCAATCTCACTCCTAAGAGGTAAAGACTCACATACACAAGGAGATTTGTAGCAGTACTTTTTGCAGTGGCAAAGAACTAGAACCCAAGTAGATGTCTCCACCAACTGGTGAACAGTTGATCAAATTGTGGTACATTATTATGTTGTAACAAATGATAAATATACGAAGAATTTAGAGAAATTTGGGAAGATGTAAAGATTGAAGCAGAATGAAGCAGAACCAATCATTTACATGACAACTATAATAAAGAAAAGGAAAATGATACTGAACTGAAAGACTTCAACTCTGATCAATGTCGCAGCCAATCATGACTTGAAAAGACTGATAGTGAAGCTTTTGGACTAGAGACGCAGAACAAGGCACTTATTTTTAGGTATGATCTATTATGTTTGATTGTACCAATTACAAGGGAGCATGTGGAGGGAACAATCAGGAGAAAGTGACAGTAATATTAAAAAAAAAACACCAACAAAAGATTTTTTAAAAAATAAATAGAAAAACATCAGAACTCTGGTCAATGTAGTGCCCTTGAATTCAGAGGACTCAAATGTGCCTCCCTCCTCTCAACAGAAGTAGTGGACTTCCAGTGCAGAATAAGACATATGTTATTAGATGTGATCAATATGTTGGTTTGTTTTGTTCAGTTGCACTTCATTGGCCATGGATGAGGAACAGGGAGAATCGATGAGAATTTACACTAATGTCTATTAAGGCATCAAAAAAAACATTAAAAATAAAAGTAAAATAAAGGGAGGAGCCCTTTCAACAATTCCAGGGTTTTCCTCAACATAAAAACCATAACTTCCATGGACCTCGGTTTCTTCACCTGTAAGATGGGGGTGTTGGACTAGCTGGGCTTTGACGCCCCTTCCTGCTCTGTATCGATAAGCCTCTGATCAAACGCTTCTTTCAAACACCATTCCTCTGACAGTTATGCTAATATGACCACAAACTGTGAAACACTGTTGTCTCTCAAGTATTGAAACCGTGGGGGATCTAACAGTTTGGGCATAAATATATATATATTTACAGCTTCTAATCAAAGATGACTTGAGTACATGAAATAGCCTAAAAGAGATCAACTGGGCAATATATGATTAGAAAAGGTCATGTATTAAGAGCAAGGGAACAGCCTGACTGCCACTCTGATATCTCCATAATGTTAAAAGACCTTAAGGAAGACCTCTACTACATTGAGTTTATGGGAAGATGTGGACAAAGTTGCACAGGCTGAGAAAGTTTGGATAGATTACATTCTGAATCATTTGAGGGAAAGCTATCCAAGTATCCCTGAGCATAATCCTAAAAGTGCCCTCCTAAAAACGCAAGTCACAAATAGTTGCCTGATAGTACTATTTATCTAAAAGCTGGCCTAGTGGACAGAACATTGAATTTACAGTCAGGAAGACCTGGGTTCAAATCCTACCTCAGACATTTACTAGCTGGGGGACCCTGGGCAAGTCACTTGACTTCTTGTGGCCTTAGTAAAATCAGAATAATAGCTATAGCACTTACCTAACAGAACTGTTGTGAGGATCCCGAAGTGTCGTAAAAGGCTTTGCAAACTCTGAAAGACTATATATTAGTATTATTAAAATGGCATACTTACAATAGAAAAAAAGAACACTGAACTAACCTGTTTCATCTTTCAATCCCAGACCTCTAGCTTTCAATCTTGAGTGAATAAATTCTTCTTTTTCCTAAAAGATGATTATTGTCATTTTCTGGAATTGTATGACGTTGTCCTTGCAGACAATCATTTTATCACTGGCTCCAATTTTTCTTCCCAGACTTATTTTCCTCTGCTTCCCTTCACGTATTGTTAGAGCCTGGACAGGTGTACCAGCATCCCAGGGTCACACTCCAGGTGGGCCTAGACTAATACCCAGAATGGATGACCAGTCCTCCTCCTCCTCTCTTTTCATACTCTCTCCTTCCTCTCACACCTAGAAGGCCCTTCCTTCTCCTCTCCACCTGGTGAAATCCTGCTCTTTTACTCTGAGGTGCTACTTGGGTGCCATGCCATCATCTCAAAAGAAGGAATCCTTCCTCCCCAATCTCTCTCTGGTTGGTCTGTCCCATGCATTTATCACATTCTAACGCACAGTATAATTATTGGTGGATGTGTCCTATCCCTTTACTATATTTTTAAGATCTTTAATATCAGGGATCACAGAGTTTTCATCTTTGTATTCACAATGTTTAGCATAGAGTCTTGCACAGAGTAAATGTCTAATAAATAAGTGATGAACTGCATGATACCAGGTCAGAGCTAAGTCACCACACTAAAGGACTTGCACTGAATCTGCCTATATCTGGCAGTATCATTCACTGCTTTCTATTTATTTAAACAGCTTTCATAACTGCTTTTCTTTCATAAATAATCATTTATACTTGGTAATGTAATAAAGATAATTAGAAATGTTAATAATCACCATACTGGGTTGCTAATTCCTGGTTATTACTCATGCCATCTTGTCCTAATTCTTCGTCCCCAACTCTCCATTGCTTCCTTCTCTTTTTCGTTCTCCACAGCCCCAAAGAGAATATAACACAGAAATCTAAGAAGTTTGAGGCCTGGATTTCCTGCCTATTCCCTTGCATATTTTTATGCTACCAAAATTCAGTTCAGTTTCATAAGCATTTAATACGGACAGGGCGCACAGGAAATTCTAAAATGAAATTCTGATTGTACAGAGCTTGCTTATAAACTCACAGAATAGGATAACAAATACACGTTTTTGATAGCTCACTAGAATGGATACAAATATTACACACACACACACACACACACACACACCCCAATTTAAATATGAAAATTTATATTTCTTTTCAACTGTGTACAAAAAGTTACATATGAAATCTTCGAATGTGGCCAATTTACACAAAAACAACCTCTATACACACATTCAGATTCCTTATGTGTAATGTGTGCATACAATTTCAAAACTACAACTCAATAATAATGCCACTTTTCAAACTATTTTTACACAGTGAAATGAGATTTTCAAAATGTAATCTACCAAATAACCAAAGAAACAAAGGCGCGTTTAGCACCACCAAGTGGTCACAAACCGAACTTGCATTCTGTTAAAACCTAGGCTCACCTTGCTAAATGTCTGATTGTGGTTTGCCCAATATTGCTGGTTCCATTCTTGCGTCTCTTGTCTTAATTTCCTAAGCTGCTGTTCCAATGGAGATTCATTTTCAGGGATGTAAAATTTGATTGGTCGAAGGTTTGAATATCTATCTGGGGGTCCAATCCAATCATTGCAAGATTTTCTGGGTGGGCAGAATCTTGGGACCTTTAAGAAGAAGGAAAGGAATATTAATACATAATTAAAGTATATCAACAATAATTTAAGTTTAATAAACAAATTGGATTTACCAAACTCCCTCATTAATCTTCTTCTTAAGCTTTAGTGGGCATAAGCAGGGTACAGCTTGCTACCTATGATTATCTATATGCAAAGAGTGACATAAAAGATATTATTGAGAACATACGATTATAAAAGGAACAAGCCAGTCATATGTCAAGAATAAAAAGCATCAGATAATAAGATGAGGAGCCTAAATGTTACACTATCATTAAATATTGAAAGAACAAAAAGAAGGTCATCAGAGCACCGGGTAAATCCTCTACGTAGTATTTTTTATGAAAGCATAGATCAGAATTGCACAGAAAGAAAAGATACAGTGTAGGAAACACTCACATAAAGGAAATTACGAAACTGAACTTTATTTGAAAGTATAAATAACTGTACAAAATGAGATGATATGGTACAAGGAGAATTCACATGATCAAATAATCATCATCACCCTCATCATGGTTAACATCTGTATAAGCGTCTGATAGGTGCCAGGCACTGTGCTAAGCACTTTACAATTATTATCTCATTTGATCCTCATGACAACCCTGGGGGGTAGGTACCATTATTATGCCCATTTTAGAGTTGAGGAAACAGGCTGATAGGTGACTTGCCCAGGGTCACACAGATAGAAAGTGTCTGGATTTGAACTCAATTCTTCATGACTCCATGACCAGCACTCTATCCACTATGCTACCTAGCGACCCCACTTGAAATAACTGACTCATCAAAATACCAATTAGATGAAAAAATGAAGCAATAGAGAAAAAGCAAGCATGTAAGAGACTCTCTCTTGGTTCTCTTTTTGGTTCTCCAAATACTCAATCAAATTCCAAATCTTGTTTTTTTTTCCTTAACAGTATCTCTCTCATATGATCTATTCTCCATATTCACACAACCACCACCCTAGTTCATCACTTATCACCCATTACTCTGACAGGTTATGACATCTTCAATTGACGCCCCAAATTTCTCTCCACTCCAATTAATCCCCCACAAAGGCAACCTTATCTCCATCACCACTAACTCTTCAACAAATTCCATTGGCTCTTATAAGCTCTATAATCAGATATTTAAAAAAAAAAGTCACAGAGATGCCCAGCTCTCTCCAACAAAGATATAAAAGGGCACCGAAATGAACAGCGATGAAGCAATCTTATGAAAAACAACATTAAGTATTTCATCAAGCCTAGGATGGCACAAAAAAGGATATCCAGAGAGAGATCTCACCATGTGGGTCAGAAAAACACAGGTAAAGGGAGTGAAAAGCTGCCAGCTCTTACCCAGCTCTTTCTTTTAGAAACTGCAGAACTGAAGATTCAGTCCTCTAAGGACATTCTAGGGCAAGAGTTCTTTTTTTAAAAAAATACTTTTTATCTAATTACATGTAAAACTTTTTAACATTTGTTTTCTAAAATTTTGAGTTCCAAATTTTTTCCCTCTCCCCTCACTGAGAAGGCAAGCAATTTGCTTTAGGTTAAACATGTGCAGTCATACAAAACATATTTTCATATTAATCAAGTTGTGAAAGAAAACACAGACCATAAACAAAACAAGAAAAGTAAAGAAAGTGAAAAAAAAGTATGTTTTGATCTGCATTCAAACCCCATCAATTCTTTCTCTGGAGGTGGACAGTATTTTTCATCATGAGTCCTTTGGAACTGTCTTAGATCACTGTATTGCTGAGAATAGCTGTCATTTACAGTTGATCATCATACAATGTTGTTGTTACTGTGCACAATGCTCTCCTGGTTCTGGTCATTTCATTTTGCCTCAGTTCATTTAAGTCTTTCCAGGTTTTTCTGAAATCTGCCTGCTCATTTCTTATAGCATAATAGTATTCCATCACAACCATATACCGCAACTTGTTCAGCCATTCCCCAATTCATGAGTGTCCCCTCAATTTCCAATTCTTTGCCACCACAACAAGAGCAGCTATAAATATTTTGTACATGTGGGTCCTTTTCCTTTTTTTTTTTTTTAAATCTCTTTGGGTACAGACCTAGTAGTGGTATTGCTGGATCAACAGGTATACAAACTTTTATAGCCCTTTGGGTATAGTTCCAAATTGCTCTCCAGAATGGTTAGATCTATTCACAACTCCACTAACAGTGCATTAGTGTCCCAATTCCTCCCCCCCCCGACATTTGTCATTTTCCTTCTCTGTCACATTAGCCAATCAGATAAGTATATGATGGTATCTCAGAGTTGTTTTAGTTTACATTTCTCTAAGCAATAGTGATTTAGAGCATTTTTTAATATGATTAGAGATAGCTTTGACTTCTTTGTCTGAAAACTGTCTATTGTGGCGTGGACAGAATGTACACTCCTACATACACTGATGGGCTTTGCATATGGCCCCACAAACCAAGTGAGTTTGTTTTCTGAAGAGCAAACTAGGTAACTAGAGAGAAGCAAACCACCAATAGGCTGTTCACCTGATATATATATATATATATATATATATATATATATATATATATTTTTACCATGGCAACCTATGAAATAAAGAAAAATTTTAAATGGTACTCTATGGCTTCTACAATGACAATCAGGAAAGGGAGCAGAAGGTGCTAAAAGACTCACACCCCACAATTTGTTGGGTATGTTATAGTATAGATTCCTTTTGTATATTGTTTTAATTAGATGGCCTCCCTTCCAACTCTCAAATTCTGTGACTCTGTTATAGAAAGATTGAATATGTGCAAAATATCTGTAGCATCAGTTTTTGCAGTAGCAAAAATTATAAGCAAAGTAGGTGCCTACCAACAGGGAAATTGCTAAATAAATATGGGTATACAAATGTAATGGAATATTTTTTTACTGTAAGAAAGGACAAATATGAAGAAATCAGAAAAACATGACAAGACTTGTATGAACTAAGACAGTTATATAAGCAGAACCAGAAGGACAATATATGTGATAAACACAATAATGAAAAGGAAACAACACTGAAGGTTTCAGAACTTTGTTCAATGCAGTATCCAATCTTGATTTCACAGGACAGATGGTGAAGTATGCCTCCTGCTTCTTGGCAGAGAAATGGTGGACTATAGGTGCAGAATGACATACATTTACAGACCAATGTGTTGATTTGTTTTGGTAGAATACTTGTTTGTTACAAGCAAGCATTCTATGGGGAGGGACTAGTCATTGGAAAATGACAGTATTATAAAACAAAACATGTAAGAGAGTGAGGAGAATAGAAGAATAGGTATACTTTTATCCTTCCACTTTCAAACTGACCATCTGCCACCGTCATTTAGCAACCTCTCTTTAAGCTTCCTTTATTACTCAGGCCAATTCCTCATCAAAAAAAATCCTACCAGTTTCCAGGTCATTTTTGTTGCTTTCTCAAGGGGTTAAGTTATTGGATCAATTTTCTTCTTCACTACAACCATACCCGAAGATTTCAATAGATATATATAACATACATATAAAATAATATATATGTGTATGTGTGTACAGGTATATATTTATGTATACACACATATATATAGATAGCTAGATGCAGATACGATCCTGCAAACATTCTGCCAGTGTGGCCATATGTCAATGGAACATAAAATACAACAGTCTCCAAAGAATTAAAAATGAGTATCACACAGAGATGTGGAGTGGTGCATGGTGGAAAGGGCAGGAATACAGAAAGACAATTGTAAAAGATGTCATTAAGAAAATGTATGAAAAGGAGAAGAGACAGGTTGGCGACATGGTGAGAAATGATAGGTGGAACACCATGATGTCAAGAGAAAGTGAAGGCCTCTAGTATGCTGGGTGGATCTACTTTGGCAAATCTGTGGGAGAACACAAATAAGAGTTACACAGGATGCAGAGCACAGGATAAACTGCAATCTGCATCACAAGAATCCAACTTGAGAAGACCACAGATCTTTGAGTATGCCAGCTGAAAAAGTTAATATGACCTTTGGTTGCATTAAAAAAAGGCAGTATCAGGCGCAGCTAGGCTGCGCAGTGGATAGAGTGCTGGCCCTGAAGTCAGGAGTACCTGAGTTCAAATGCGGCCTCAGACACATAACACTTACTAGCTGTGTGACTCTGGGCAAGTCACTTAACCCCAACTGCCTCACAAAAAAAAAAGTTCTTTCCAACTCTAAGTAGGAGGCAATTAAGACCGTGAAATAAAAGAATAAGTTAGAGGAACCAGTGGCGGTTAGCCTGGAAGTGGGTGGGGGTGTGGGAGCGCAGGAATGAGAGTTCTCTTCAAGTATCTGAAGGGCTATTTCTCCTTCGAAAGAGGGATTAGAATTGTTCTGCTTGGTCCCAGAGGGCAGAATCAGAGGCAATAATGGTGGAGGCTACAGAAAGGCAGGAAATGGATGAAGAAGCTGCAAGGACAATAGAGGAGAAGCAAATAGGTAGGAAGAGGACAAGGAGAGCATAAGGCCATGAAAGCCAAGGGAAAAGAGCACATCAAGGAGGTAGTGGTGAATAACAATAACAAAATCTCCAGGGAGGTCAAGGAGGATGAGAATTTAGCAGTTCAGAAATCAATGATAATCTTTAAAAGAACAGTTTCAGTAGAATGATGAGGTAAGAAGCCAGACTGTAAAGCTTTGAAGAGTGGGTGGTGAGATAGTAGTGGCATTAAGTATAGATGTTTTTGCTTTTCTGCCATAATATGAAAGCAAATTAGAAAAATGGATCTTCAGATCTGTGGAACAAAAAAATGCCACTGTTATCTGCCTACCTCCTCACTACACAACTGCAAATGTCTGCAAAGTAACATTATTCTTGACATTTTTTCCAAATAAAAATACTACTGCATAGCCTGTATTATTCATAGACCCAGAAATTCCATTAATGTCAATTGAACAGTTAGTTATAATGTAGTTTTAACATGTAGTTACACAGCTGGGAGGAAATATAAATAGCATCCTTTAGTTAGCATTTCAATGCTGAAGACTGTAACGGTATAGTTATATAAGGCCATATCTATGCTGTACTAAGACAATAAAATGGGAGTTGAGGGGGCACGGGACAGTAAATTTTCAAAACTATTTTCAATAATGAAACTTTCCTCCCATGTAACAACTATGACTCCTTCAAGAAACTGGTATGAGTTCTGCTCTTACAGACTGATGCTCCCTAAGGCTATTTGGTTACCCTGCAAATAGGAATTCTTGCTCTGAAGCAAGAATGAACACTCTAGTGAAATCAATAGAGATCTAGCACCATAATGCAAGATCTAGAACTATAATGCAAGGTAAACAGTCTTTTGAAAATCAATCAACATCCTGCTGTGATAAAAGAGGTGGTGGCTGAAGCTGCTATTGCCCTCTACCTCTGCTCCAGAAGCTATTTAGTCCTCAAGTTTTCAGGCAGCATAAACGCAATGGAAAAAAGCATCACTGGGTAAATGATACGAACAATCTTCTACAGAAGAAATGCCAACTGCTAATAACTGTACGACAAAAGTTCCAAATCATTAATAATAGAAACACATATTAACCCAACTCTGAGCTCTCACCTTAAAACCATCAAATTCGTAAAGATGATAAAATCAACAAGTATTTGTTATACACCCATTATGTGTCATCCACTGTGCTATAAACACTGGGGATTCAAAGGAAAAAAAAGGTCTCTATCTTCAAGATATAGCCAGTGTTGGATATACTGCTGGCAGCTAAGCAAATTAACATAACTGTTCTGGAAGTCAATTTGAAATTATCTGGTAAAAGTAACTATGTTAATCAATACTCTTCAACTCAGATCTCATTATAAATGACATAAGCTCTGCATAAATACCAAACTATTTAGAACAGCACTTTCTGTGGTAGTAAAAAAGGGAAATAAAGTATGTATCTATCACCTGGGGAATAACTGGACAAATTATGGTATGTGAATGTAATGGAATATTACTGTGATTTCACTGGTATGGAGAACTCACAGGTGAGGAAATTCCCCCTCCAAATGCTGCAACTTGTCGTCCAACTTATGGCCTGGATCTTGTTGTGGCTGTTCAGCAGTTTCAGTCCCACCGACTCTTTGTGACCCCATCTGAGGCTTTCTTGGCAAAGATACTGGAGTGGTTTGACACTTCCTTCTCCAGCTCTTTTTACAAATGAGGAAAATGAGGCAAACAGGGTGAAGTGATTTGCCCAGGGTCACACAGCTAGTGAGTGTCTGAGGCTGGACTGGAACACAGGAAGATGAGTCTTCCTGATTCCAGGACTGATGCTCTGGGCCACCTAGCTGCTCAGGGCACTAAGTGACACAACCAGCCAAGTGTCAGAGATCAGGCTTGACCAAATGTTCCTGCCCTTAAGGCTAGTTCTCTGTCCACTATGCCACACTGCTTCTCTATACTGCATTTCTATACTTTAAATATCACATCTTCACCAGAGAGTCAGTAAGCTAATATTTTCACATGGCAGCAAAAACACAAACAAACAAAATAACGCCATGAAGCTAATGCTGAGCAGTGGCAGAGAAGAAAGATGGGGGGGGGACTGGGCCCCTAAAAGCATCTCAGGACTCTGGCTGAAGCTACCAGCCACATTTCTTCAAAGGCTGAAGGTTTCAAAATACTGTAATATACTCTGGTAAATTCTTTTACAGAAACATTTCCTATATCCTGATTTCCCCCTCAAACACAGTGGGACCTGGGGTTAGCTAGCAATAAATTAGGACGGAGATCCAAACTTGTGCCTAAATGTCAGGAATTTTCTTATCTAGGAACTCTTAGGTATTACCTTTTCATCTGATATAAATCATATCAGGGAAGATGGGAACGGAAAGGATGGGGTCCTGGCCCAGGGTCACTCTACCCAACATAACTACACCCCCCCCCATGCCTAAGTCAAATAAAGCACCCCGCAGAGACAGAGCAAACACAGTCCCAATCCGATCGTTTTTTCTTTGTTCTCCGCCCGTAAGTCACACAGGGGAGGCTCCGCAGCAGGACCTGGCCCCTCTGGGTCCCGTAGCACCAGTGACAAATGGGCTGTGACTTAGTGACTCAACGACAATTCAGGAATATAGAGGCAGTGGTTTGGGGACTTGGGCCGTATAAACATGTAGTTTAGGGACACCCCCCCCAGGTTCAGTGACACAGACAGGGGCTGAGTGACACTTCCCCTGCCCCTCCATACCCAGAAGTCAAGGTCGGTGTCACCCCTCTCCCGGCCGGACCAGGGCATGGAGACAAATTCGGCGTTCAATGTCACTCTCTCCGATTCCCATGGGAGGGTCGGAACACAGATTTATCGGTTCAGGGACAGGCCTGGGTCCCTGCTCCCACTCGGCAGCGGTTCAGTGACAGACTCACGTCGGGGCTCGGCAACACTCTCGGCCCCTCCCCCCTGGCCGGGGTTCAGGGACACGCTCTCCGCCCCTCCCCCCACCAGGCCGAGGCTCGGAGGAGCCACACGTCGGGGCTCAGTGTCTCTCCGCTACCCCCGCCAGGCCGAAGCTCTGTGACACAGACATCCACGGGGGTTCAGTCACTCACTCACACACACATACACGCACACGCACGCACGCACACACACACGTCGAAGTTCGCTGATACCCTCCTGCCGGGCCAGGGCGCAGTGACACCGGCGTCCATTCCGCCGTAAGGTCACGGCGCACTCGCCAGGCCTCCTTCCCACCTCGGGGGCCCCGGGCCCGCCCCCGCGGACGCTCTGATTACCCGGCTCTGCGTCGAGTCCTCGGGCTCCGGCCCTCTTTCCGGGCCGGGCCGGCGGCCGTGGAAGGCGAAGCCGCGGCGGGGCGCCCAGACGAGCCCCCGCCTCCAGCCCACCCGCGTAGCCGCCGCCATTGGCGTCCCCTCAGTCCCGCCTCGACCGCGCCGGTTTACGGCAGCCTCATAAAATGGCGGCCGCGGAGGAGGAGCCGGAGAAGGAGCCGGAGCCGGAGCCGGAGCCGGAGCCGGGGAGCCGGGGGCCGACCGTGTACTCGCCCAGGGAGGATCAGCGAGCGGCGGAGGCGGCGAGGCAGGGCTCCCTTTGGCAGTCGGGGCCGCCCCCGCCTGGGGACGCGGGGCGGAGCGACTCCTCGCCCCGCCCGGGGTGTGTGGGGCCTTCCCGGGCCGGGGCGGGGGGGGAGGAGCGATGGGCCTGCGGGGGCTGGGGGCGGAGGGAGGAGGAGCCGGAGGCGAAGGGGAGGAGAGAGAGGAGGAGGAGGAGGAAGGGAAGGAGAACTAGGCCGGGCGGCGCCGAGCCAGGGGCCCAGGGCTGCGGCCGCACGATGGCGACGGCCGGGCCGGTGAGGGGCGGACGAGAGACGCGGGCCGCTTTGTTTTCAGCGTCGTGCTGGAGGTGCTGAGAGCGAGAGTGAAGGACTCGGCGGTGGTGACTGACCACTCGGTGAGGCCCCTCCAGAGCAGGGCCGGGGGGTACGTATCCCCCTCAGCAGATCCCCCCCCGACCGGGACCCCCGAGGCCCGGCCCCCCTTTTCTTCACCCCGGCCCCATCCTCAGCCTTCTCCCTTTCTTTCCGGCCATTCTGTCGTCACCCCCAAACCCTCAAAGGCCAGTCCCCCTCTTTTCACTTCCTCCTTGCTCTTAGAGGCCGAGTCCCCATGTTCTCATGCCCCCATTTACTCTCATGCCCTCACAGCCCGGGTCCCCCTTCCCATGCCTTCAGAATCTGGTTCCCCCCTTTCTTTCCGGGTCCTCTATTTTTACTCCTCCAGTCAGGCCAGGCTCTCCGCTTCTCCCGGTAGACCCCCCCATCCCTCCTCCAGGGATTCTTTCCTCTTGCCCCCCAGTTCTTGGGCCTCTGGGGTGCCTCCTCACTATCTGGGCTGCTTCTCTCAGTAGCTCCTCCCCACACAGAACCATTTCTTTCCCCGAGGTTGCCCCCTCCTGCACAGGATCCTCCCTCCCGTGGGAGGGAATGGGGATATCGATATTTTACCTCACCCTTTAGGAGCCCAGCCTAGAGCCTCGGGAAGGTCCGTGGTCTCCCCTCCCCCATGGCTGACCCCATTGTGAGGTCAGGGCCAAGTCAAGGCCTGAGATTCCTGGAAGCCAGGCAGCCCTGCCCAGGAAGCCAGGCCGTAGAAGGTGGCCGCAGTGGCCGGTCCCCTGAGCCCTGTGCTCCTTTAGACTAGCTGGGGCAGGGTGACACAGGATGGGCTTTGACACCTAACCCATAAAGGGGCTCATCCATCTTAACGTAACAACTTCTGGAAGCAAACACAGGGGCCTGGCCAGTTCCAACACTGCTCGGCAATTTAACATCATTTCTTTCCTTCTGGGTAACTCGAAGAGACCATTGATGTGGTGACACCAGTGGAACTCAAGGTGGGAGGTGGCACCTGGTCCAGATTCTCATTCACTTCTGTGCCTCTGAAGTTTTTTGGTTGTATTATGGCCCTGCTGTCTGTAAAGCCAAAAGGGAAGTTTTGAAGTTAGCATTTGTGAGCGAAGGTCGTTGTCAGTTGGCAGAACAGAGGAATACCACCAAGTTGTCTTTAAACTGTTCTGGATTCTTGTAATGGAGAGATGATTAACTAGTTATGTTTAGATTAAGTAGCAGCACTTTGTCCCATGTGGACCTGATTTGGAACCTAGGATCCGGTTCAGCTCTTTTGACCTGCCTTTCCACTGGTGCTGTCCCAGTTAACAGTACTTGTGGAATACTTGCCAGATCTTTAAAGCGGAGGTTTTTGAGATATTGGAATGGAAGGCAGGAAAAATATAGAAAATCTGTAGATCAGGTAATGATCCTGGGAAATGAGAACTTAACAGAAATCTGTTGTAGGTGTTTAGTTTTTGTTTGGGGGGAATATAGAGAAGGGGTGAGAATTTCTCTGTATTCTTGCTTAAATAGCCTAGTTCTTATTGTTACATTTCCTTTCTTGGAAAAAGGAGGGCAAGGGTGATTAGATCAGAGAAGGAGTTTTACTTATTTGTTCCCTATTGTTAACCATTAAACTTTTTAATATTATATTAAAAAAAGGAAAGACCAATTTGATGGCTTAAAAAACACTTTAAAGAGTAGAAAACAAGAAGTAATGACGTTAATTCCAAGCTTTTTGTGACCTTTTTTTAATAGGTTGTGTCTTGGTTATTTATTACAGTTGAGGATATTTGAGATACATAAGCCCAGCACCACTGAGCAAACAAGTGGCATAGAATCCAGGTCTTCTTGGTTTCTAGTCCTGGGCTCATGCTATATAATGTAGGATATGATTATTTTTCTAATTTTAGTTATTTAGGTAGTTTGATAGGTCTTCCTCTATTCTCTTCATGGTGTGAAAATTTTCAAAGGCAAAGCTAGCAGCATCTGCTAAGCAGGAATAGATTCAAATGTGTGCCGGTTGACAAATACTCTGCCAGTTATAGCTGAGGAACATCCTTGCTAAGTTCAGGTTGATGAATTTTGGGTCTTCAGCTGCTCTTGAAAACTTTCTACTTTATCATTGAGGGATGGCTATGTGTTGATGAAGGAGTAGCCACATCAAAGTTATGGATCCTTGAAATGTACTGTTGTGAAATGTAACCAAAGACTTAGGCAACTTTTGAAATAGAAAGCTAACGTAATACTACAATGGAAAGAACAACGTGGAAGAAATGAAATTATTTTAAGTTGAATTAATGCATGACAACTATTCCTGTTTTGTAAAAACATTATAGTAAAATAACTAATCACTCTTTTCTTTTTTTTAGCTCTTGTGGAACTGAACCAAATAAAAGTATGGATATGGGAAATCAACATCCTTCTATTAGTAGGCTTCAGGAAATACAAAAGGAAGTCAAGAGTATTGAACAGCAAGTGATTGGCTTCAGTGGTCTCTCAGATGACAAGAACTATAAGAAGCTGGAGAGGATTCTGACTAAACAACTTTTTGAAATTGACTCTGTAGATACTGAAGGAAAGGGGGATATTCAACAAGCCAGAAAAAGGGCTGCTCAGGACATAGAGCGCCTTCTCAAAGAACTGGAACAGAATGCAAACCATCCGCACCGGATAGAGATAGAGAACATTTTTAAGGAAGCTCAGTCACTGGTGAAGGAAGAAATTGCTCCACTCTGTAGTGGAGATAACCAAGTAACTGATGAATTTGAAGAAGCCATCCAGGATGTCATACTGAGACTGACACACGTGAAAACTGGAGGGAAAATCTCTTTGCGGAAAGCAAGGTATCACACATTGACCAGAATATGTGCAGTTCAAGAGATTATTGAAGATTCCATGAAGAGGCAGCCTTCCTTGCCGCTTTCTGAAGATGCACATCCTTCTGTCTCCAAAATAAACTCTGTTATGTGTGAAGTGAACAAAGCCAGAGGGACTCTTATTGCTCTTTTAATGGGAGTAAACAACAGGGAGACGTGCAAGCACTTATCCTGTGTGCTGTCAGGGTTGATTGCTGATCTGGATGCTTTAGATGTTTGTGGACGTACAGAAATAAGAAATTACAGGAAGGAAGTAGTGGAGGATATCAACAAATTATTGAAATATTTGGATTTAGAAGAAGAAGCAGATTCTACTTATGCATTTGACCTGGGACAGAATCAATCCATTTTAAAAATAGAAGGGATCCTCAAGAAAATGAGAGAAGTGAAGAATGAACTCCTTAAAGCACAAAATCCTACTGATTTATACCTGGGATCAAAGACAGAATTGCAAGGTTTAATTGGACAGTTGGATGAAGTGGACCTTGGGAAGAACCCATGTATCCGAGAAGCAAGAAGAAGAGCTGTAATAGAAGTGCAGACGCTTATCACTTTTATTGACTTAAAGGAAGCTCTTGAGAAAAGACAGCCGGGGGTTGCTGAGGAACACCCATCCCACAAATCCATCTGGACTGTTCTTGGAAGTTTGTCTGAGATCCAGCGAGAAGTTCTTTCATTTGATGGAAATAGAACTGATAAGAACTATATACGGCTGGAGGAGCTCCTCACAAAGCAACTGCTAGCCCTAGATGCTGTGGATCCTCAAGGAGAGGAGAAGTGCAAAGCTGCCAGGAAACAAGCCGTGAAGCTTGCACAGAATATTCTCAGCTATCTCGACTTGAAATCAGATGAATGGGAATACTAAGATATCAGAGGTCACATATTTGATATTGCTTGTTTTGCACTTTATGTAGATTCCTATATGTTTATATAGAGCTCTTTCAGTGTGCTGAGGCATATATGATTTAAACATGCATATTTCAATACCACTCTTTGTTTATGACCCCTGACTTGAGCAGATTATATCTCTACCATTTTTCACGGTGCAAAAACAGATATATTTACAGCCCATTAGCGTTTCCATTTGGGTTTTATTATCTGTATGATATGTATTTTTATTGTGGAAAAAATAAGTTCTGTCAGAAGCAGAGTTTGTAGTAATTGATCTATTTTTAAAATGGATAGTGCAAAAGCAAAAAATGCAAATGTTCTGAAATCTAGATAGACTTCTTACAGAGTACTGGAAATAATTATGAAAATGAGAAATAGATTAATTATTGGCCTGATAAGATTAAGATCCAGACACTAGAGCAGTACAAAAAAAGTTTTTAATATGCTAAATAAAAGCAAAAAGGAAAACCAGTTTTTAAAATTTAGAAATATTGATTTGTTTTTCCATTTTACTATTTGTTGTTATTGTTTAAACTACTTTTTTCCCCTTTTTGGTAAGAATTTAACTTTTTTTTTTTTTAAGAATTTTACATTTAGAAAAGGATCTTTTCCCCTGTGCTATGCGTGGGGGACAAGGGTAGTCAACAAATTATTTCCCTTTTTTTGTTATGAAATTGTGGAGACTAATAGCAAAAAAGGGGGAAATTGTAGATTGTATTGAAGAGCTGAAGTGCTTCATACTTTTAAGTTTTTGTCTTTTTTTAAGTTTATGTGTTAAATCTGAGTTGAACTCTAATTTGTATGGATTTGAATTGGCATTTTTTGGTTAAGTTTTTGATCTTTGGAGGGGATAAGGAAAACTTATGAAGACTAGAAATGAGTAACTTGTTATCAATGGCAAGTTATGCTAAGACTCAGAAAACATATATATGCACATATATACATATATGTACATACATATACATATGTATAGTATGAAATGGTTTTCTTCTGACAGGCAAGGCTATGTAATGGACAAGCTTAATAAATAAACCCACTGTTATTTCACAACAGATAATTGCAAAACAGCACCACTGAAGTAGATTTCCCTTGACTTGTCATTATAAGAAATTAATTGCCATCGGGAAGGAGATGCCAGCATTTTAAGCACCAAACTAAAAGGAAAAAGACACTGAAATAGTGATGCTAGGTAGTCAATTAGATACTGGGGGTAATTTTATTCGTATGTGGAAGCTTTTTTTACACTGAAATAGACATTGAAACAGTTGCAATGAATGAAAGTTTTCGTAAAATTCCCCAAG